ATGAGTGGCTGTATCCTAGGTTTTCGAATAGTTCTCGATTCATCGCAGCTTCTGTTTTAGTCTAAGGTATAATAGCAAATATTCTGTACGAGGTACCTTGATTGAGACTCCATATTGTTGATAATGATGGACCTCCCTACGGGAAATGAGTAGTAGTGTTGCTGGTATCTTTGCTGCAGCCTTCGAATTCAGAGGACAAATGGAATGAGGGGCAGTGAATCGGCAAGTAAAATTTATTTCCAGGGTTCAAAACAGAGGACACAAAAAGGTGATAGCGGTGAAAAGCCGCTGGCTTAAACACCGTCCTCAGATAGATGAGATCATGATTGAAAAGCATTGGCCCCATAGTCATCCTTATCGTGATCATCGTAGAGATAATCATCATCTTGAAATCATCTCGACATCTCGACACCTGTCGCTGCCCTAGGTTCGATTACCTGTCCTTGGGGAACGCGCAGTTTTACTCCCGGGAATGCGCAGTCGAGTCTAGGACAGAATGAGCTGGCGCTGGGCAATGTGTCGCTTGAGCCAGGTTCCACCGGCTAAGGGACAAATGGCTAGAATTGCCAAGCTCTTTAATGCTGCAGCTTTATTGGACAGCGTTTTCCGCCCCCAAAATCCAAGTTCCGAACAACAACCTCCTCCTCCCCTCCCTAACATGCCCTGTTTTCTGACATGAAAAGGCCCTGCGGGTGTGGTCAAAAAGGAGGGGAAATATTGCTGTAATTAATGGCGGAATCGAATAGGAATTTCTCTTATCCGTATTTGAGAAGGTCTTTATATGGTCTTATGCGAATCTGAAAGTATTTATGGAGTCATTATTCATATTCGGTAATCAAATATTCGAAAAATATGCGAAATCTTGGCAGTTGCTCGATCGTATGAAATGATTGGTTGACGCCTCAATGAAAACCCCGTGACCTAGTGTGGTTTCATCGCGTACCCTTTGTTAACCTCAATATCCTTTTACATATTTCTGACATGACGATTTGAGATATTTAAGTTTCCATATCTTATCGTAATGAGTGACAGCTGTATATCTTTATCACTTAAAATGGATTGTGTGTCTCATTACGTTCGAAGACGATTTCAACGATATCAGAGAGTAAATTATCATCTCTTGAATGATGGAAGCGATACGATGAAGATCGCATCTTCAAAAGAACTCGTTTGAACAAGCGAAAAGAAAGCCCAGAGCCTATAACGCCGGATGACTCAGTGAGCCAATTAGGTCAAAACCGAAGCTCTCCTGTGGAATCACTTCAACTGAATGAGTTTCCTGTATGAGGATCATCTGGAATATCCCAGCGGTCTACTCCATCCTTACCTCGCGGCAGACTACAGAATGAGTTGTTATGGACACAATTCATCGTGTCTCCAATTCCAGGGAACCTGTAGTCACGGAAAGGAGCCAAGAGACCAGCAGAAGATCGAAAAATTCAATGCAAAACATGTAACTTTCAAACTTCTGATTCTGCGAGGGGAACATCGACTTCCAACATGAAGATTCATCTTGCTAACCATGGGGGCTTCTCAACAGTACCGAGAATGGTAGTGGCATAAGCAGAAATTAGTAAATAGCCACTTCGACAAGAGGGCAGATTCTGAACCTGCTGGCCACTACCGGTCAAACCATTCCATTTTCAGTGGACATGTGGGCAAGTAAGAAGTAAACGCCGACATTATAGGTGATTACTCACTGGTTGATGGTTTGTCAACGGTTGGGAGTTTGAAATTGAATACAAAATCCTCACTATCGCTGCAGATAATGCCACCAATAACAAATCGTTGATGACAGAACTATATTTCAGATCGAAAAAGAAACTTCACGGTGTTAGGGAGACGGACGCCTTTCTTTTCCAGGGTGCTGACAGTTATATCCGCTGCCTGGCCCACGTCTTCGATCTCATTGCCGGTGATATACTCTACGCTCCGAAATACTGCTACAGTGGGTGCTCCAAGGTTTCCGTCTAACCCCTACACCGCCATAAATACACCGCCTGAATCGCGGATTACACATTAGAACAAATCGGAATAACAAGGTCTATTAAAGACAATAGGATGCTTGGATAGGATTGAAAGCGCAACCAACTATTACTATGCCAAAAATTCGAAGAGTGCCTACCGACGAGCCTGAACACACCTTTTGCCGGCAGAGTGGAGGTGGACGGAAACTTATGAGCACCCACTGTAGGCTAGAATTCGAACACTTCTTCTTCTAAATGAAAATTCCCTTCGCCTCCGCCTGCCTTGGCTGCCGCCGTTCGAACTGTGTTGATCAGCGACCTAGGGCCACAAACACCGACCGCCCCTCTGAGTCCATCTTGAGTCGATCTGAGATCCCTGAACCATTCAGTTATATCAGGCCTGCCTCTTATAAGTGTCCCATGAACTTGACGGTTGCCTTGAGTCTGCTCATGAAGAGCAATATGGTCATGGTTATTTGCTCTGTCTGGTTGTGAATTTGCACTTCTGGTGACTGCAATGGCCAAATTAAACCTAACACCAAGATTTGAGGGCCGCGTCATGTCTGAAAGAATGCGCAGCTCCTCGCTGCACCACTCCATATGCTCTTCATCTTTGATGATCCACAAAAGATGAATATGCCAGCGCCGAGAAGCTTCACTAACTTCCCGTGTCGTGATTGCAAGTTGAATAATGTGAGAAATAATGCTAATCCCTGGAGTGATTCCAACTCCACCAGCAACTATCCCAATGATGGGATAGAGCTCCCACAGGGTGCGACCAACTCCGTAAGGCCCATCTGCACAAATCCTCACCTGAAACGGAGTTTGTGTTTCGGTATTTGACAACGAGGCCTTCTCTTTCATAAGTTCATGGAGTCGCCTTGTGTAGCCTCCGAGGCTTCTAATGAGCAACGTTGCCTCATCTCCACCAGGCGTGGAAAAAACCGTAAACGGGTGCCAATTAAGGAACGAAACATCTCGGATTTGAATCCATGCAATCTGGCCAGGGTAGGAGGTTTGCAATCCACGGACTTTGATTTTCGTGACACCTCCGGAGTATTGTGTGATAGAAGTGACCTGGATCCGGCGAAAATTGCGTGTAAATCGGACTACACGATCACCAACCCATAAACATAGTCCTGGTAACAAAAACTCGGGAGCATGATCTGCATGAATAAAAGCCCCAATAATAAATGAAAGAAACAAAGCATGTGCGTAATAAAAGACCTCAAATTGCAAGCGCCGTATGATGCTGATGGAGGTTATGAAGATTATTGCGAGAGACAGCCATGCCATTATGCCCACTTGAATGCGCATGTTTGTAAACACAGTAGACGTTTCGGCATTCTTGATCCAGTCACGACTTTCGCCATATAGATGAAGGCTGGCGTAAAATATGGCGGCTCTTCCCGTCCAGCGATGATACGTAAGAAGTCTCGCTGAGGGAATTCGTGCAATGACAGAGAATAAATTGTTGCGAGCACCGAATAAAAGTGCCAAACCACCGTTTGAGATGGTGAGATACCCATAACGATCGAAGTCTGTAGAGTATTGCACGCGGCCCCATGCGAAGATGACATTAAGGCCAATGAATAAACCCAATTGGAGAAGATCAATAATCGAATGGCTGGTGATGAAAGATGGAAATGGTATTGAGCGTAACAAGAGTCTTTGCACAAGGGCAAATGGCCACAGACGCGACGACAGTCTTATACGCTTGTGATCACTAGCTGAGGCTAAGTTAGTAAAAAATGCCTCAACACGGATTTCTTATTTATCGTACCTTTTCCAAGAACCAGTATCAGGAATAAAGGTAGGCGGGAAATTGACTCAATAATGACTAGGCCCAGAACCGACAAAAAGTATGCTTGGGCCGATCTGTATTGATCATTGATGAACGAATGCATACTTTTGCTATTCCTGTGATAAAAAGGTGGTTGTAAATTATGAATGGAGGTGACGCAGGGACACGAATATATATATACGTCTGACCTCAGAGATCAAACCCTTCATTCACACCAACGTAAGGCAGAGATGCTAGAACTTTGACTGTAATTCAGAAGCAGCGATTCCGGGATTCTAATTTGGAAAAACAATAGAAGCATGATGCATACTCACGCTGGTCAAGATTTTGAATCCCCCCACCTAGTGCCTCCTTGATTACATTCCCTACATAGGACTAGGCTATCCGTGTCAATACTACAATAAACCGCATGACTTAGATAATAGACACATATAACTAACTAACAAATTGAATAAGAGCCTAGTAATGCGTAATATATTTCGTTATACTATGTTTAAATACCACTATTCGTTTCATATAACATTCAGTGGCCTAGTGGGGTAATTCAGAATCTTGGTCGAACAAGGTAGTTTAAATGCTCCAATACGGCTTTTTCCACAGAGGGTTGTAAAAGTTCATCATTAAACATACTATTTAGCCGTTGCTAATTCCAAAATAGGTAAATTGTTTTCATGATCCAAACTCAAATGCATTTGGAATTTAGACCTTACACTTGATAAGGAGGTTGACTTGTAAAATAGCCTAGATTATGAAACAGCATTTTCCAAGCGTGGTTAGCGGTAAATTACCGCATATACAGTATAGGGGTTAGAAGTAGTATGTTCAAAATACTTTTGCACGGTCACTGTAACTAGCTGGGGATTACGAAATCAATTTTCCCAATTGAGGCAGGCTAGGGGAAATACTTCGCAAAGAATTAGGTTGCTACTTCTAAAATTAATTATAAACATTTTATGGACATTATTGAGCCTAAATTACCTCGTATGCAGCCAGACTTCCTGAAGGTTTGATTATGGAATCCGCAGTTTCGGGATCTAGTAAAATCTCTGTGTTATTGCCCCTGTCATCTAGGATCGACATTTCTATATTTTGGTATCACAGAGGGGACAACAAAAGTCGCAGCCCATATAAGAACGCAGCCCCTTCCCGTCGAGTACTCCTCGAAGTTACAATATTCTCTTTGATATCCAACGTCTTGGCCTTAAAGCTGCGCCCCGCTCATTACAACAATGCATTTCTTGTCCACAGCCATCCTTTTGACTGGTCTTATCGCCACTGTCCTTGGCCAGAATGGCACGAAGATCGGTTATTCTGGCAAGTTTTCTACCCTTTCAGGAGGCCTTCAAGGAACCGTTACCGTCATAAACTCCACTACACTGAAGATCAGCAACTACGAACTCCAAGATGCATCTGCCCCCGCTCTATACTGGTGGGGAGCAACTAACTCGGACTTGAAAGACGGTTTCCGCATCTCAAACATGCATATCACTATTCCTACTAAGAATCCTAGTGAGATGACTATCGAACTGGATGCGGGAAAAACAATTATGGACTTCAGCGTCGTCGGTCTTTGGTGTGAGAAATTTGGGATCGACTTCGGCCAAACTACTCTCGCGGCCGATGGCAGTAGTGGTGCGACGACAGCCTCTGTAACAGCGGCCAGTACAACGTCAGCAACATCTTCTACTACATCTACCAGTGCTGCCATCAGACAGGCAGTTTCGGTATCCACAGTACTGGCAGGTCTCTTTGCAAGTGCCTTATTCTTCTAGTAAAGAGTAAGGGTCCTTTCCATTTAGACGTAAGTCGGCTTGCTGAAAAGACATTTTCATCAAGAGCCTTTTTTAATCTCATTGCATTAGGAATCCAACGGAGCCCTCGTCCCTGAAATTTGTGACAAAAATAAAGATTTGAGGCATGGATAGGAGGGGCTTTGTTTTTCCTTACTGTTCAAGATTGTGATTCGTTCTGAAATGGAAAAGTGTTGGGGAATGCTGAGCGATGGGTGCAGTGCGTCTGTCACATAGACGAACAGGCTGATGCAAGTTCTTAATCTGATAGTCTCATGCAACATTGAACACGAGAGACAATAATGTCCGCGAATGCAATTTTCCACTGTAGTTAGGCTCTTTATCCTTTGAACCAGTACGTGGCCTTCATTCATATCTACGAGTTGCATTGGTAGCAGCCTTCGGCCGGTACCACTGAGTCGCTTAGAGATGACTGCCGTGATGTTTAGTGAGAGTGGGGGGTAGTTTCTAAGGACCAAGAAACATATGTGAAGTACTATTTCTACAACTAAAGAAGGTGGCTCAGATAGGTCTAAATCTTCGACTGGAGTGCGCAAGTATATCGGGTATCGACGGTCCGGTGTTGCCGATAAACGGGACTGTAGGGTACGCCGTCTCCGGGTAACAGACTTGACAGCCCCAGTTTCTCCCGCACGCCTATCTTCACACATCGTTGATTGGAGTATATCGTCTGGGTCTTATGTAAATTACCTTCTGGTTCCCGTGAGAGGATAGAACGGTCTAAACTTGCTTTGATTTACAAGATTGATATTCCCGAGCCATCAGCAATCAAAAGCCTATTGGTCATGCTGGACCAAGCATTTCTCCTTTTCCAATAGTAGCAAATCGGCGTGGGAATATTTCCCTCCACTTCGAATATCAGCTCATATATTCGGTCGGTCAAGTTTATGGGTTATGCTGGGCTCGGTGGCCTGACGTTGTGCGGAATCTTTCTACCACCATTTTGAATCGAAAATATCAATAGAAAATACTTCGAATTTCGAGCTGAAACATGAATTGCTTTTCGTTTCGAGTACTACACATTGGATCTCATAATCAGGAAGACACGAACAATAGCTGTAAACAGAAGCAAGGGGACAAGTCCTGGTTAGTTAAAAAATTCATTTGCACAACATCCAATATCGTGATACCATTGATCGATCATACTCCCTGAAAAGCTTGCAGATCCCTTCCATTGGGAGAGCGGAGAGACTTCACTCATCAACGTCGCGAGGGTGGGCCTCCCAGTATTCGCCCAATTCCACGTCAGTCATTCCAGGGACAGCGTCATAACGGGTGAGAGGAGCCAAATCGATCTTGTGCTGCTCGAATTGCGACAGCTTCAACTGAGTGAGCTTTCGTGATTTGTTAACACTATACACCTTTATGCGATGGGCCGAAGACGTGACATGAAGTCCCCAGTTCCATGCTGCTCGCACATTCAATGGCTGTGTGTTGAGAGAGTTATCCCAGCACCTGCAAACGATCTCAATCCATCCTTCCACGTCGCAGGGCAGATCAATTTCCCAGGTTCGCCAGGTCCATTTACCCTTTTCGGATAACTGGTCTTCCGGTACGGCGTACCAATTGAAACCTCCGTCGGCAGAGAGCTCGACACGTTCCGGCCATCTACCACCGCCGGAATACGCCCAGCCCTTGCAATGGATTTTGCCATCATGCATGATCACTTGCTTTGTCCAAGGAGACATGATTGCTGAACTGACCGGCATCTCCTGGATTTGGATGCCGTCTATAGGGCGCAGGTTGTATTTGCCCACCTGCTGATTGAAGTAGAGATATTCCCTAGATTGGACAGGCGCGAGGGTTGGGCTCTTGATGGCTTTGATGCGATATAGCCACTTAACACTTCGAGCCCCAATATACCCCATCACAATAACTCGCAGCGGATAACCATGGATCTTAGGGAGCACCTCGCCATTCATTTCCCATGCGAGGATTACCTCGTTAGCCTTAACCTTGGACCAAGGGATGCTAACAACATAATTGCCCACTTCTAGGTCCTTAACGTAGGTCTCGGCGCCATAAAGTTCGAGGTGCTTCGCATGATCAATCAGACCACCGCAATCTTTAATCACCTTCTTCAAGCTGATACCCTTATACCGTGCGGTACCAATAGCTCCCTCGGCCCAAGGAGCTTGTGGCACTTCGTCACCCTGGCCAGCATACAAAGCAATTTGTTCGATACGACGGGTTCCCGAACATTGCATCGTGATTGTCTTTTCCATACGTGGGAACTTAGTCTCATCCATCAAATCCTCCATTTTGTACGTTTTAGGTGACTTCACGAGTCCGTCCAGCTTTAACTCAAATTTGTCCGCATCGATAATCGGAATACCGCCATGGTTGCGCACGAAATGAAGAGAGTTTGGAGTTATTGCCTTTGCGGCCACCAGTCGCTTTGGTGGCTCCCCATTGTAAGGGAACTGCAATAAGTGAAGCATCTCAGGATGTTTCTCTTCCAGCACCGTCCTCCAAGAATCATCGGCAACAGGGGCAAGCTCTCCACCGAGGGCGGCATGCCAGGCTTTGAAATCGTCGCCAGTGAGAACGGGATTGGTCCCCGGGATTGGTCCCCATTGATAATCGGGACAAGGTGCAAAGGTTTGCGAAGTCAAGATTTTGTGGGCTTGAGCCTTCTTTTTGGGGTAATTTTCCCATTCAACGTAGCTATAGTCCAGTTGAACGACAAATCAGCTTTGCTGTTCTGATGTCAACACCCAAGCGATATGAGATACATACCCGACCCATCCTTCTCTTTCGCGGGCAAAAAGCTTCTTACGATTACCCACTGCCTGGATTGCCTTCTTATCTTGCACGATTCCGGACGGCTTTGAGGGAAACACTTTAACGACCGTCTTTCCAGTTTGGTCAAGAATAGGCAGCACATGGCCTGCCATGCCCTGCTCGATCATCCATTGATCAGGTCTGTCCAGAGCGGTTAGGCTTGATCTTCTTCTGGATTCCATGTTGTATCAAGGATGTATCAGTGGTGTATCAAGGGTCAAAGACAATTTTATCGAAGTGGCCAGCCTGAAGTATACATTATCGAAAGTGTCGTGGTTATATTCTGCGCGGCGCACGGCCCCACGACCCAACCTGCCCGATGTGAATGTCATGATATCAACCGTGTCTAGACTAGGCAATACTTCTAAGCCAATAGTAAATAAGCTATTTTCTTTAATTATTTTCTAGAATTCGAGTTACTTACGTTACAGGATGGTACGCTACACTGCAATTCGATGTATCACATTTTCGTGATGCTATGATTTTGAACTTGCCCTACGGCGAACGATAGCGCCCACCCCTTGGCAAGTGGCGTTTTCGTTCCGCCTTTGACACCGTCTGCCTCATTCCCTTAGATATCAGGCAGCAATATGTCCGAATTAGGTAATGATCTAACTATAACTAGTTAGTTACTCAAAATCGAATCACACCGCCACCCTCCGCATCTTTCTGAGCAAGTTTATGCAAATAGGAAGATGAATAAATTAATATGCAGTGTGTATTCATTGAATTGCTTGTATATTATATTAAATAAATAGAAAACCATAGAGTATTTATGCCTGAGTTCATGCTGTTTTTTCAGCGGATAAAACGGCTGACCATATGGATCTTGATTGGTGAATATAGTATATTATATCATGATTGTATGATATATTTTGTATGAGCAATTTTAATCATTCTTTATTGATTAGTCCTTCGGCTCAATCGGTTTTTTAGTTTTGAATACGATATGATATCGTATGGTTATTGATTATGTTTGGTTGTGGTCTATAATAAGGTTTCCGGGGTAATCCGGGGAACCGTGTTATGACCACATGGTATCAATAGATCGTATAGGTTGATCAATTCATCTTATGGTTGGATTATATCTTATAATATGATTTCATTGATTTAATATTATGATCTCATAGCTATTTTAGGTACGTGGTATTGGTGGGATGTTCATGGAGATAATTTGCATGATTTTCATATAGATGTTATTGGCCGATCTTAGCTATATTATCACATCTTCTCTAGTGCGCTGCAGCCTTTTTTCAGGGTATCCACCAGTGCTGCTGCTCCGACATTATCTAGCCTCATTAGGAGTTCCGCCGTTGAAATCTAACGAAAACGCCACTTGCCAAAGGGTGGCCGCTATCGTCCACCGTACTTCCCCGAAGAAAGAGGGATAGACGAATACTGTATTGCATACATGATATAGAGATGGTCAAGTGCTTAGTGTACATCCGCGGAGCAAATCTTCTAATTTCCTGACTTATTCTGTACTGTTGAAATAGTGTGTGCTGAATCCTCCAATCGAAATTGAATTTGTCGTGGGCATCGTTGTGGACGGATATGGTGCTATAGGCTGTGGACTTTCGGGGTCATCTAGAGCAGACTATTTTGCAGAGGCCAATGTTGCGGTGAGTGCTAATAACCCACTCAAACCACTCATGACATAAAGATATTTGACAATGTTGACTTCATACGGAACTTTCTTCTAAAATCGATCTTCTCTGCTCCGCTAGACTCCCGGCTATGGTGACGATATCACTGCCACTAGGAAAATTTAACCCAATGGCCCCGCAGTACTTTACGCCCGCACAACTTGCAGGCCCCTTACAGAAATTACTATTTTTTACAGACCTCTTTCAATTCCGGTATCACCTATCTTTTCTAATGCGGTCGCAACTTCATTGGAGACTACGATTATTAATACCCTCTAATCAGCAGACAGCTAATTACATCCAATATCCGCCAGAGTAATTAGATTCAGGCATAGTGGTTGATGGGAAACGTGTGTTGAAAGTTGACCGCTAAGTATGTAAAGATACGATATCGTTTGGGTGGCGGGCGGACCCCCGCCGTAAAGAATAGTAATTTCTGTAAGGGGCCGCTTATGTATTGATCCTAATTTAGCATATAACTTGCATCAAACTATCAAAGGTAGCAAGTTGCAGGCTCTGCCTTACGGATAG